CAGCACCCTTTTAGGCCTTGTGAGTCATACAGTCTCTTGCCATTACTCAAGCCTGCCGTCGTGGTGCCAGCGCAGCCCTAGATAATGTGCAGACCACTGTTCCTGGCTGTGTTCTAATAAGACTTTATTGACATAAACATATGGGGGAGGCAGGGGCGTTTGGCCTGGGAGCTGTGGCTTGTGGACCTCTGGTTTTGAGGAATAAGGAGGCGATCCCAGACAGTCGTTCCAGGTGGAGTGGAGAGTAGAGATAAGATGCTGGTTCCCAAATGGGGCCCCGGCCAAGTCGCCATCCTGTCCTTTGCACAATGAGAACATGAGGGCCTTGTGGTGAGTTTTTCCTAAAACCAAATGTATTTATGGCTGTTTAATGTTATCCTGCCCTTCTTAACTTTATTTTATTTTTGATTTATTTATTTTTTTTAGCTGAGCCATCCTGCCACCTGTTGGCAGCTCAGCTCAGGCCGGGCATCGAACCGCTGTTGCTCAGAGCTCACACTCTTGAGCGAGCTCTTAACCAACTGAGCCACTCGGCCGGCCCTTGTCCTTCTTAACTTTAACGGTGTACAAATGTTCTCTCTTTTATAAAATGATGGTGTGTGAGTGTAATGGCCTAATTGGGTAGGATTATAAACTGCAGTCCTATGTCAGTCTCCTCTCCTTTTATTTTTAAAATTTTTTTACCACTATGTAAAATTCAAAAGCCTGAGGACCACAGCTCTGGACTCTAGGCTCCGAGAGATCTGTCATACAGCTAATGGTCGTTTCCTCAACTCCTGTCCATTCCTTTCACTCATCTGCCCCTGGGACAGGTGACAGGCCCACTGCCCCAGGGGGCTGCAAACTCAAATGCTCGTGACATGAGTGCATGACCAGGCCCCCGGCAGTGTCCTGACTCATGGCAGCAGCCCGACAATTGACTCCGTGTGACAACATTGTCTTATCTCCCCATTTAAATGTGTTTTTAGATTCTTAGAATAAAAGACCACCATTGTTGCAATGCCCAACAAAAGCATGCTACAGCCTGAGCGTGGCTCCTGGCTGCCACTTTTCACCTCTTAATCCAAATCTCAATTCCTGGCAGTGATTCTCCAGCTGCACATGCAAGGGGGCCTCCTCCACGCCTGCATTTCAGAACGTCCACGGAGCCCTTCTCCTGACAAGGGCGTCCAGAGACTCTGCTGGCAGCGCGAATGTTCCAGCCTGTCCAGGCCAGAGCCTGGGACCAGGAGGGTTGCTGGAGAGTTCAAGGGCATCTTTCTAGGGCATCACTCTGCTTGGAGGGAATTTGTTCGGAGGCACCAGGCCGAGCTGCTGCTGCCTTGGGTCTCCCCTGCCCTACCCTGGGGAAAGGGTGGGACGGTGTAGTGGCTACGGTCAGTCTCAGCTCTGTCATTTCCTGGACAAGTCATTTGATGTCTCTGTGCCTCAGTTTGACCATCTGTGAAATGGGGATGATTACAGTAGGTTCCAAATTAGGTTGGCATGAGGATTAAATGGGCTAATACGTGTAAAACCCTAGGAGCAGCAGCCGGCACACAGGAAGTGCCACATAAGTACTGGCTTTTGTTCACTCTTTTTGTTCACTCTTCTTAACTCAGATGCTGAGGAGATGGGGTCAGGGAAGTGGGGAGAACTTCCAAATCAAGTAGGGAGGTCATAGGGGGTGGCCCCTCCTCCCGTCCCATGCCCGCCCATCCTTTCTCTGCCCTCTGCTCCCCCGCCCAACACACACACACACACCTGAGGCCTCTGCTCTCACCTCTCAACTCCTCTGGGCTTTCCCTGGACCTATTGTGCGATTTCTCACTTTCTCTCTTAAAATATGATTTGTGCACGTGTCCTGATGCCCCTCCCACTAGGCTTAAGTCTCTCTCTTCTTCCTCTTCTTTCCCTCCCTCTTCTCCTCCCTTCCTTCCTTTCCTCTTCCCTTTTCTCTTTCAGCGTTGTTTTTCCTTTGTGTCTAGCATGAAGCCTCACCCGTTTTGTTTCGTGCATGAATCAAGGAAGCTGTTTAATAACTAAAGGTTTGTTTAGTAACTAAGAGTAGCCCCGCCTTCGGAGATGACGTACTCAGCCAAGCATTCTCAACTGGGGGATTCTGTCTCCTTCCCCAGCCCCTTCCTGGGGACATGTGGCCCTGTCTGCAGACATTTTTGATTGTCACAGTGGGAGGAGACATGTTACCGGCCTCCAGTGGGTAGAGGACAGGGGTAACGACATATATATCATGCAGTGCAGAGGACAGCCCCCCCATCATAGAGTTATCCAGCCCCAAATGTCAACAGTGCGGAGACTAAGAAACCCCTGGTCTAAAGTAAGATCCTGCAGGAGAAAAGAGGGAACCCCAAAGTCCGATGACCCCAACTCCTGAGTTCTGCAGTTGGCCTCAACTGCGTCTTTAGAGAACCTTGGCAGTGAGGCCCTGCCCCCTCGGTGGGCCTGGCCGGGCTGATTCTCTTTGTGGAACTATTATTCCCCAGCCCTTTGTGAGCTATGGAAACCCATTAAGTCAGTGTATCTTATCACGATGGCGCGTTCGAGCGTGTTCCAGCCTCTCCCGCCCCGAGTGGGCTTGTGTGCAGCACTCTTTCAAACAAGTCTGTCTCTTCTCGCCACAGAGAAATATGCGAGGTGGTATTTCCTAAAAGCGTGCCTTTGTAAACATGCCAAACCTAATCTCAGGGCACAAAGACCATCGTAGAAATCAGAATCAACTTGGAGAGCCGGGGCCAGCAAAGGCTGGATTTAAACGGCAGGGTCTGTAGGCTGGTGTTTTGTTGTGGTTGTTTTCCAGTTCACACAGCTCATTAAAGAAGGACTTCTAGAATGTTTCTGTAGGTAATAATGACCTCTTACAGGTCTGAAGATGGCAGACATTATCTGGGCTTTAGAAATTGCCTATTTGATGAAGTTCATTGGTATCCGTCTTGTTTATTTTCATACCATCTTTGGCTGGGGGTGGGGTGGATGTTAAGAAGAGACAGGTCAGTTGATTTTCCCGCTTTTCCGTTGAAGAAAACAGTGTCTGTAAGGAAATCCCTATGTGACTCTGTCTTAAAGCTCTCCTGTTCAAATGCATTTAAAACGCTCAGAACAAGTAGACAAGTTTGGCTTCTTTAAGAAGAGAAACAGTCAAAAACTGTAGTCAAAGTGAAAAGTGGAGATACTTGCAGAACTCTGGTCCAGCTGATTCCTTGGGCGGAGAAGGTAGGCATTGATCCTGGGAGAGGTGGGACTGTGAGCCTGGTTGCTAGGCAGTGGTTCCCATGGGGATGAGAGCATCAGGGTTGGCTATCAGCATGTTAAAGATGAGCCAGGACAGAAGGAAGAAGGGAGCTCAGCCACTCTTCCTCCCACTTCTGTTTCTTAGCTGGAGGATGAAATATATGCAAATAAAGACCCAAAGGGGGGGGGGGTTGCAGGTTTGCTGTACAATTAGCAGGGCCGCTCTTTGCAGGACAGAAATGAGCGAATCAGTGTGATGTGAAGAAATCATCCTGACTTTCAGATAATGCTGGAGATGGGTTGAGGGCCAGCTTTCTGAAACCGAGAAGCACTGAAAAAGAGGGCAATTGAAAGCTTTCCTGAACTTTGAAAGGAAGTCAAAGGCAAGTAGAGATTGCTGGCAGTTGAGCTTAATGTCAAAATGGCGTCCTTCCATCTCTGTGACGCTGTGTGGCTAAAGGCTATCTATGTAAACTCTCTGTGCTTTCGTTTTCTTACCCATAGATGGGCATAATAATAGTACCCACCTCAGAAGATTGTTGTGAGAGTTAAGAGTTCATATGGATGTGGCACTTAGAACAGTGCTTGCACTTAGTAAGCGTAATGAGTGTTAGTTACTTCTGCTTGTTTTTCTCTCTTCTTCCAGATCAGAAACAGATGATCTGAGCTCTTTATGCATTTGAATTTCATGCATTTTCTTATATCTGATGTCTGTAAAATCATGGCAGGAACTTGACTTTGTATATATTTCATATCGTGTATCAGGACGGTGACAAACACTGACACAGCCCCCATCCTACTGCATCTGCCCTGCCCGCCTCCCCTCTCCCTGCCCCTGAACCTGGGTATTACCAGTCTGACTTAGGGTCTACGGAAGTCCTAAACCCTAAAAAGATGGCGCTGCCCTTCTACCACCACTGTGAGTGATTCAAAGTCAGAGGAGCACCACGCCTTAGAGTAGGTTGAGGAAGACGATACTTCCTGATTTCTGCTATTGCGGTTCCCCTGAGGCTTTTTTTTTTATTTTTATTGGGGAACCGTGTATTTTTCCAAGACCCATCAGCTCCAAGTCAAGTAGTTGTTTTCAATCTAGTTGTGGAGGGTGCACCTCACTGGCCCATGTGAGGATCGAACTGGCAAACCTTGGTGTTATGAGCCTGCGCTCCAACCAACTGAGCTAACCATCCGCCCCTACCCTGAAGTTTTTGTTTGTTTGTTTGTTTTAAGGATTTTATTGGGGAATCAGAGAAGGGGAACAGACAAGTAGTTGTCCTTTTGTTCTTCAGTCTAGTTGTGGAGGACATTGCTTCACTGGCCCATGTTGGTATTATGATCATTGTGCTCTTCCCGGCTGCAGCAGTCAGTCACTGGCCAAGGACAGCCACTCACAGCGGCTCATAGCAGCCCCACTGAAGCCTATGCCGTTGCTGGCCACTCATGGTAGCCCAGCTCCAGGTCGACGTGTTGTTCACAATCTTAGCTGTAGAGGGCGCAGCATCACTGGCCCATGTGGGAACCGAAGCAGCGGCCCTGCTGCTCAGAGCTTGCACTCCCAAGCCAACTCCTAACCAACTGAGCCACTTGGCTGACCCTCTGAGGCTTTCTGAAAAGCTTACATTTCATTCCAATCAGCTCCCCCCCCCTCCCCCGCTTTTGTGTTTGGGGGGCTGCTCCTGCTTTGCACTTTGTAAGCGCTCGCCTTACCACCCTTTTGCTCTGCAATCCGGTGCTATAGCCTAAAGCTCTCTCTCGTTCTGCCCGCCCTCTCCCAGGCCTTGACGAAATCCAGTGCTCCCTGCCCATGGAGAACAGGAGAATTTTCCTGCACGAGTTGTCAGAGGCCAGCTTCAATGAGTGTAAGTTCAGCCTCTCGCTCACAGACCTGTTCATCATCATCTTCTCCGGCGTGGCCGTGTCCATCGCCGCCATCATCTCCAGCTTCTTTCTGGCCACCGTGGTGCAGTGCTTCCAGAGATGCACCCCCAACAAAGACTCCGAGGACGAAGATGATGATGAAGACGACTGAGCCGCCCCTCCCAGACCTCGTTTTCCAGAACCCATGCTGGTGGCTCCCCTTTGAAAAGAGAGGGAAATGCTGAAAGCAGAAAAGAAACCAACCACCGTCAGTGCCCAGAGCACCCAACAGCACCTGCTCCACGCCTGGCACCCTGGGCGTACCTGGTGGGACCTCCGATCTCAGAGTTGAGAATTCACAGAGCGTGGAGCTCAGGAAGGATTCCCGGAGGAGAGCCTGCCTCTCAGTTTGAGGTGTGTGTGTGGGGAGAAGATGGCCGAGTCAGGCTTCATGGCTGATGACTGGAAGCCAACCTAGGGGATATGAGCCCACAGAGATGATTTTGTGACGTCCGTACGGGGAGACCATGCAGTATCTCCTTCCTCTCAAGAGGCAGCAGTTTAGACAGTGGGGATTCGGGTTCAGGTCCCTCTTCCTGGACTTCTGTTCTTCCCGAGATACGCTTCGGCAAACATGGGATTTACTCAAAGAACAAACCCACAGTTGACTACCATGGCACCGAGGAGAAAACCTAGAACTGGCCAAAGGGTGTTTGTTGTTATATTTTGGTGAGTGGGTCAGGAAAACATTTGTCAACACAACTCAAACCCTGATCCTTATCCTTGGATTTAGCAACTAGAAGGGGAAGGATAGTCGTTTTGTACAATTGTGATAGCCTCTGCTCAGAGCCACTCTTCCCTCTGAAGTTATTTCCCTTCCCAGTTCCCACATCCTGCCCCGTGAGTCCCTCCTCAGCCAAATAACATCTGGCCATTCTCTGTGCTGGCACCTCGCCAGATGTGTCATCTCCAAAACTTGGAGTAAACTTTCCCGGAGGCTAGGCTTTCAGAAGGCAGGTTGCATCGGACCAAGAAAATAGTAACAAAACAAAACAAACACACTGGGACTTGGTCTCTGAAAAACCTCCATCAGTAGCCCTAGCGGGGGTGTGACATTTCTTTGGCGCATAGGCTGTGACAGGCAGTGTTTTTCCGGATGTGGGATGCAACACTTGGTTCAAAGACAGTATAAAACAATGTCATGGACCCAGTAGGTTCATGCAAGATGACGTGTGTCACCAGCCCTGGACCTTGCTGGGGACTGACCTTCAGACGAGGGGCTCCCGAGAAACTCCAGGAATATTTCTGAGAATCACCTGTCCTTTGTCTGCCTCCCCTGCCCCCTTCCATCTTTGCTTCCACAAGGAATTACTGAGTGTTTGCTAAGCGTCAGGCACTGTGGAGACGCAATGCATAAGAAAGACAGGCCCCTGTTCACGTGGGTCTCATCTTATCACAGGTGGAACTTAAAACAAGCAAGTAAACAAAACTAATTGCAAGTAGTGATAAGGGCCATGAAGGAAATAAATGAGGTCTTCTGACAGAGTACTGGTAGAAACCTCTCAAGAGTGGGTAGTTGGGTATATTAGCCAGGGTTTTCCAGAGACACAGAACCAACAGGAGATGTGGGTATTCTATCTATCTATCTATCTATCTATCTATCTATGAATGATAAGGAATTGGCTCACATGACTATGGAGGTGAAAGATCTCAGAACCTGTAGCTGGCCAGCTGGAGACCCAAGGAGAGCCAGTGGTGTAGTTCCGGTCTGAGTCCAAAGGCCTGACGACCAGGAGAACCAATGGTTAAGTTTTAGTTTGAGGGAAGGAGAAGACCCAGGTCAAGCAGTCAGAGAGAGAGAGAGTGAATTCTCCTTTCCTCCACCTTTCTGTTGTATTCAGGTCCTTGGCAGGTTGGATGGGGCCCACCCACACTGGGGAGGGCAGTCTGCTTTATACAGTCTATAGAGCCTAATGCTAATCTCATCCAGAAACATCCTCAAGACACACTCAGAAACAACATTTAACCAAATATCTGGGCACTCTGTGACCCAGTCAAGGTGACGCATACAGTTAACCATCACATTGGGGAAGGGCTCTGCTCGGGTGGCTTGGAGCCGAATCCTGCCTCCTCTCACCTCCTTGACCCCCCTTCTCCCTTCTGCTCTCTTTCTCTACCCTTCTTCCCCTCTCCCCATCCTTGGTCACTCCTTCTAGCCCCCAGCATTCTTGGCTGCAGTGGAGGAGACCCCTGGCACAGAAGGGCTGTCTTCCCATAGAGTCACTGGGCAGCGGGGAAGAGGGCAGCATCTTTCTAGACTCCATGGCAACCTCAGCACATTGAGCCACCTCTGTGGCCTCCACCCTCAGTGCAGGCGACGCTGCCATTGAGGAAACAATATAAGAAAACTGAAATTGGTCATCACGAACAATTAGGTGCTGCTTGAATTCCAGTCTAAAGGTTCCAGCCATCATTGACATCTTTGTGAATGAAGGTTCCTTGAAAAGGTTTTCAATAAGGAGAGTGGTGCACTCCACTGACATTGGGCCACTGGAGGGAAGATGAAAGATCACGGGGGGCGGGGGGTGCAAGGGTTTAAAGGCTGGGAGTTTGAGACACAAGACAATCTATTGTCAGCACCTCCCCGGCCTGGCCACAGATTCAGCTGAGACTTGTGTGAGGTTTGAATTACTGCCTGTCATCCCAGTCTCCAGTCCCTATCCCCAGGAGCACCCTACCACAGGCACATTTTAAAGGTCCTGGGCCCAGCTGGGGCCCTGCCAAAGTCACAATATGTTTCTCTCAGAGTCCTGGGGAGACGGTGTCCCAAGCTGTGGAAATAACACCAGCCCCTTGTCCTAATAGGTTCCGGTGGATGCAGTCCCACATAATGAGTGTGTTTTATTGCTCAGTCTGCCTCAAGTGGTTCATTCTGGTCAGTGGGCATAAGCCCTGCAAACCATAGGGGCCACTGGTTATTTTCCAAATGAAGGCGTGAGCCAAGGAGGGGCGACCTGGGGCTCGCTGGGCACCAGTCAGCCATCATGTCTGCTGACTGCACCCCAGTTTTGGAATGATCACGATTCTGGGGAAGAAGAGCTTTAAAATGTTGCCAGTTGAAATAGTCACTGCTCAGGTATAAAGTTCCTGAGGATCGCTGGGGACGCTGGGGCCATGAGGGACATCTGTGGTCAAGCCCAAGAAAATATGCTGAACAGGAGCCACGACTTAACTGGGGAAAGGCCTTTTGAGAAGTGACATTGCACAAACAACACGCAATGATTTAGTGTTCCCTGACTTGCCGTAGGGTTTTATCATTATCAACAGCAATAACAGTGTTACATCCCAACTGAGGGCCTCCAGGGCACCAGAAATGCCCCTCTCCCAGATCTCCATTTGGAGTGTCATTTGGGTCTCGTGTGTCACCTTCCCCAGACTCACTCTCATCGCTTCATATCATTTTCTGCACAGCACAGACTGTGGTGTGACATTATCCTACTTGTTTATGTGTTTATTGTCTAACTCTCTGGTCTAGAACCTGAGCTCGCCAAGGGCGGGAACTTGAGCCATTTGTGTCCCCAGCATTTAGAACAGCAAGTACCTGGCACATAGCAGTGGCACAATATAATATTGGTTGAAAGAGCAAACAGATGCGTTCCAGGCACTATACTATTGTAGAACTTCTGCAAACATGAGCTCCGCGAGTGTCCTCACAACTCCACATGAGAGCTGCCATTACCCTAAGTTTATGAGGAAGCTGAGGCTCAGAGAAGGTGGGTAGGTTACAGTCATGGAGTGGGTTTTGGCCACTGCTCTGACCATTGCGCCGCCTCGCTCCGTCCAACTGCATTCCCTTCTCAGGCCAGCAGGAGCAGGCCTGGCAGGGACGGTGTGGAGTGGCACATTCCTTGGGGCTGTGTGCTGGGCTCCAGGGAAAGCAGCATGCACTTGCTAGGTGCACCCAGAATGAGTTTATTTTGAGCCTCAAATCCAACATCTCAGACCTGTTCAGGAAAGCCAAAACCACCAAAATATCTTGTCTCACAGTCTAGGTCTCCTCAAGATCTGATGGCCAGGGGATTCTGGTGGCATCACAGATGAATTCATCTTATTGCGATGACAGCCGATAGCACAAATGCATCCCTTTGACCTGGGCAAGGGCCCCTATCTTGGGTCCAGAGCTGTAGAGGGCCCTGCTCTGACTCCCCTCCAGCTGTGCCCTTGGGGTGAATAATTTGTGGGACCAAGGGCACACACCCACCCAGAACCAGTGTCCTCTTCTAGAACATTCTCTGGGTACTAAGGACCCCAGAATTGCCCCCCCACAAGCAACCCCAAGCTTGGGGGTAGGCCTCTTCCCAGCATCCACACTCCGAGGTGAACTGAGTGGCCAAGCAGTAGATATTGGTGGGGGGTGTGAATAGAGGTTGGATGTACAGCCTGTGGTGCAGAAGACCCCCTAGAGGCACAGGATGAAGTCAGGGCTAGAAAAATAAAGGGGGTGGGGGGTTAGATGGCTCAGCTCTCCGCACGCTGCCATATTCTGGTGCAGATGTCCAGGAATTCCAGAATCATCCTTTAAACCTAGTCTTCCAAGCCATTCACAAGGTATTTTTGTTAAGGTAGCTGGGTAGAACGTTTTCTTTGCCAGTTTATCGCCATGTAGGACTTGTGACTGTTTAGATATGGGTGTGTGGAAGGTACTTGTACTCTTGTTCTGGCTGCACAGATGGTACAGGTGGGCCTGGGTACCACACCAGGGACCACCCTGGCTGCGGCCCTAGGACCAGATACCGCTTCTGCCTTGTGGGACTGGTCAAAATGGGCCTTGACACAGAAAGGCTGAAAACCGAATGCACACCAATCGCTTTCACCAGTGACAGAGAAGGGTTAGTATTGAACGCCCACACTTCCCTCCTCCCCCTTCTTCTCCCCCTTTTCCTCCCTCCCGCCCCCCACCATGTCCCTACAGGCTCAGACGGCCAACACTGCAGGCATGAGTTCTAGGTGCCATCAGTGGCTGGGGGCGGGTGCCTTCTCCAATTCTATCAAATTTAACTGGACCCTGGACCCTCCATTCCCTTAACATCCCACCACCAACATTGAGCTAGTCGCTAACCCTGGACATTGGCCATAAGTTCCTTTTTGTGGCTTCTGGTAACCTTGAGAGTGAAAGTCATTTATTATTTGCTAAGTGGTCTAGCCGTACCCTGTTCAGTAAAACCTCCCCGAAGCAGACCCCTGTGGGTTTTATTTGCCCGCCACCAGCAAGGTATCTTTTTTTCTCTAAGACTCCAGGCCAATAAACACACATCCAAACTTGACATTGTTTTTCCACGTAAAAGATTTCTTAAACACAAAAAAAGAACACAACACTGTTCTCCACTAATTGCAAATGTGATCCACTTTTTGAAAACATGCCTTTTCAGGCTGTGCGTTATTGTATTTTTGGCCTTGGACGAAATACAGTGTGCTTTTTTGGTAAAACCTCACACCCGTCTTCAGGACTGTTAGTCATGAACCCATTTGCTCGCCAGAGTTCCACTGGAACCGGAGCTGGGCGTTGGTTTTCCAAGAATCCTCCTTTCAGGGTTTGCCACTCAGCACAGAACCCCCACCCCCATTTGAGCCTCTGTGAATAATCAGAGTGAAGCAACCATGTGTTACCCAGCCTCAAGAGGAGCCCTCCAGAATGGAGGGTCCACACTTCAGTGGAGTGTCCACTCTGTCCTCGTAGCTGGACACCAGTGGCTGTGCCCTGGACCCTTTCAGAACCACGTATAAGTGGACCCACGCAGTTCAAAGCCGTGTTGTCCAAGGAGCCACAGCAGGGTAGGAAGAGGCCACACTGCCCAGGACAAGGGGGGAACCCTCAGTAGACATAATGGATGCGTGGTGGATGCCAGTTCAGTCTGGGTTTTAAGCCCAAGAGAGACTCCATCCCCAGAAACACACTTGATCCTTGAACAACACGAGTTTGAACTGCGTGGGTCCACTTATACGCAGACTTTTTTTCAATAAATATGTAGTCAGCCTTCTGTATCCCCGGTTTCATCTGCAGATTCAACTAACTACAAAACCATCCCTGCCCTGCCTGGGTGTTGAATCCCAAACTGCCATCCCTAGAGATCTCAGAAGGTGACCTTCCTTTCAGCCCTCACTCACTTGGCAGAGCCACAGTGTGTTTCTTATGGAAATGGGGACAATGCCCCCTCTGTGGCCTCAGATGAGTCCCTTAGGCCGGGCTTAGCGCCACACCTCCTATGATCGTCCCAATTTCCCCGTTTCTCTGAACAGCAAAACTGTTCTTTTGTCAGGATTCCTTCCACTCAGGTTTGTCAATGTGTCACCACCCGCCGTCATGGCAACCAGCCAGTTTCCAAACGAGATCAGGCTCAGGTGGGACAGGAAGGAAAGTGGGCCTCGAAGCCATCCAGCAGCTGCGTCCCTTCCTGATTGATGGGAGAGGCTGCAGGGTTCTGCTGAGACCGTGGGAAGTCATGGGCTCCACACACTTTTATGAGCTGCCTGGGGAGGCAAGAGGTTCCAGGGCAGGGTATCCCCACCGTGGGGCTCTGAGCTGGCACCATGGACATCTCCCCACCCCCCACTCCCATGGGACCCTCTGTCCCCAGAGGCATCCTCTAGACTGTAAGCTCCATGAGGTCGGCGCCAGTGGGCCTTCCATCACTAAACACCAGGCCTGGCAGACAGGAGCCCTCAATTGTTGGAGCACATCCACTTCTCCAACTGAAGAGGGCCACACCATGCGGCCTCCCTCCCTTAGGAAAGGAAGTCCAAGCGGGAGAGGAGGCAGGCAGAGTCCAGGATGAGGGTCAAGCCAGGTGACTGCAAGTGACTCGTGACCACTGGAATGGTTCTAACAGAATATTTAGGAGTAGTATTACTGGAGTATTAAAATAGCAGAGTAATAAAATATCCAAGCCAAGTACCAGAGCATTCACATTCTACCTGAGTATGTGGAGGGGAACGGAGCTGGGCCTGCTGCTCACCTGGCTGGCCCTTAGGCTGTGTGATGCTGCCGTGAGTGGTACCGGACTTTACCAACCTGCTCCTATCCCTGTCCCCAATACTCAGGCCCATTAGCCCCTTGGCACTCTTTCTGTTCCCCAGACAGGCCTCGCTTGTTCCGGCCCGAGGGCCCTTGACCTGGCTGTCCCCTATCCCTGGAATTTTCTTCCCCTAGATCTTTGCTCCTTCTCATCATTCAGGTCTCAGCTCAAAGGTCACCTTCTCAGAGAGGTCTTCCCTGCCCATCCCAGCTGAAGAGACCCTCACCTGTCTCCCTCTAATGCCTCATCACCCTGTTTCATTCTCTTCGCAGCACTCATGGCTGTGTGGGCTTCTTGGGTATGGTTTGCTTGCTTGTAAACTGTTTCCCCCTCTTTAGATTGAAAACTGTGAGAGCAAGGTCCATGCTTGTCTTGTTTATCCTGTATACCCAGAGCCTAGACCTGATAAATATTTATGAGGTTAATGAGTGAGGTAGGTGGGTGGGTGGATAGAAGGATGGGTGGGTTCATAGATGGTGGATAGGTGGATGGATGGATGGATGGATGGTGGGTGGGTGAATAGGTGAGTAGGTGAATGGATGGTGGGTGGATGGATGGATGAGGGAGTAGGTGGGTGGGTAGATGAACGGGCGTTAGATGGAAAATTTTCTACCCTTTCCACAGACTTGAAAACCACATATAAACTGAGACGAATGTACCCAAGGGAGGGTTTACAAGACATCCTGAGCGTATTAAAGGAAAATGCTTTTTCTCTTTGCAGGGGGCACAGCCCTGAGCCCAGGGCTGAAGTGATGTCAGGAACCACTGGGGGTGTTTCCTTCCTTGGCAGTTGCCCATCTTTGTTGTAGCGCAGAAGCCTTCCCCATGGCCCTAGTGTGGACTGATGATGGCAGATGACCCCCAGGCTTCGCACCCTGCCTTTCATCTGAGAGCCCCAGAGAGCAAGCCCCCTGGGCTGCCATGTCCTGTGAGGCAGTGACGGCCGCCTCCTCTCCTCTCCTTGGCACTGCCAGCCTTGGCATTGGCGGCTGGGTACTGAGTGATTTCCATTAGTGACCATCTGACCCTTAATTACTTCCGTTAATTACTTGGACAGGCTTTCCCTGCAGAAAGGGCTGAAATCCCAGGGACGACGAGAAGGGACTGTCCTCCACCTGTCCTTGTCCACCACCTGCCTCTAACAGGAGGACATAGTGCACCATTCAGGTTATTCAATTTTCCAAAGACCTGCTCTCAGTGGAGGTCAGCCTGTCACTTTGAGGAGTTCCCTCAAAGAGCTTATTCTCTTGCTAATCCTGAGTCTTCTAAAGAGCCTGATTGCTTGTTGGGAGAAACAAGTGTGATAGCAGGAGGGGGGTGGGGGTGGGGGGCAGGCGCTCCTTATCTGTGCAACGTGGGATTCACTGCCTCAGTGATTTCCAGTCCCAGTGACTCCTACACATGGAGCCGCCCAGCCCGCGGCACGTTAAGTCCAGACAGGGCATAACCGCCTGCAGCTCCCCCATCCCTCAAACCCCCATCTGATACATCACCTGAGACATCTTCAGCCCCGTCCTCCCGGGCTCCAGGGAGAGTGGAACAGGCTGCCAGGATATCTGGGTTTGCAATTTCCCTCTTCTCCCTCCGTTTGTCCTGCCTAAATCCTCCTTATCCCGGATGCTTCTCACTTGGGACTCATTCATTCATTCATTCACTCATTCATTCTTCAGTAGATATTAACTATTTACCCCCTGGCCAGGCACGGGTCACACAGCAGCACAGGACAAACACAGACTCTGACCACAAGCAGCCATGCCTTTGAAATGTCACCATCAGGGAGCTAGGGCCTCTGTCTCCCAGTCTCTGTGACAGGACAAAGTCCTAACCTCCATAACTGCCAGCGAGCAGACCCCGGCCAAATCTCTGTGATGTGATTTTTCACTTCTCTGACTCTACTGGGCCCCCGTTCTCCCCCCTCCTTCATTCTCCCTTTAAAATACCCAGTCACCCCTGCGCAAATAGGAATGATGCTCTGATCTTTCCCCACTGTCAGTAGTCATTGAATAAAATTTTCTTCAGCACTTTAACATGTGACACCGGGGAAGGGACATTTAAGCTGAAGCTGGAAAGTTGGGCATAGTTAGCCAGGCTAAGTGGGTGGGTATGGGGCAAGGAGGTGGGGAGAGGACGTTCTTGGTAAAGAATAAGGGAGAAACCGAAAGAGGCTTCGAGGGGCTGGAAATGGAAAGGGGGACAAGGTGTTGGTTCATACCAGCACAAGGCCATCCCGGCCCTTCGCAGGCACAGGCTGTCCATTCATCCCCAGTGAACGCCTTGGGCACCAACTCAAGTTTCTCCCGCACCGTTCAGCCTCCATCCCTCTTCCTGGTCAGATTTGCCCAGCTGGCACTCAGCCTGTCCTGCCACCTCCCTGTTGGGTTGGTTTGGGGCTGCCCGGCCCCCACTGCGGACCAAGAGGATGCTGCTGCCCCATGGCTTTCTTTTCTCCCATTTAAAAAAAATCAGGATATAACATACCACAAAGTTCACCCTTTTAGAGTACACAATCAATGGTTTTAGTATATTCACAAGGTTGTGCAATCGTCACTGCTATCTAATGCCAGAACATTACTTCACCACAAAGAGAAAACCCCCCCACCCATTAGCAGTCACTCCCGCATTTTCCCCTTCCCCAGCCCCTGCAACCACTAATCTCTCTGTGTCTATGGGTTTGCCCATTCTGGACATTGCAGATGCATGGAATCATGCCATATGTGGCCTCTGGTGTCTGGCTTACGTCACTTAGCTTAATGTTTTCAAGGTTCATCCGTGTTGTAGCATATGTCAATATCAGTATTTCTTTTTATGGCTGAATAATATTCCACTGTGTAGATATATCACAATTTGTTCATTCATTTATCAGTTGATGGACATTTCGATTATTTCCACCCTTGGCTATTGTGAATAACGCTGCTATGAACATTCGTGTACATAGTCTTTTATGAACGTGAGTTTTCTATTCTTTGGGGTGTGTCCACAGGAGTGGACTTGCTGGGTCACATGGTAACTCTGTTTAACTTTTTGAGGAAATGCCTGTTTTCTAAAGTGAATGCACCATTTTCCATCCCTCCAGCCATGTAGGAGGGTTCCAATGTCTCCACATCTTCGCCAACACTTGTTATTGTGTCCGTCGGATGGCACCCACTCTTGAGGGTGTGAAGTGGCACGTGGCTTCTCACCCCATCCCTCCACTCTCCCCTTCCCCGCTGTGGCTTTGCCTACAGAGTGGGGCCAGACTCCTTTCTAGTTCCCCTGGGGGCTGGTGAGAAACCCTCACAGGTTAGTGAGAACACCATGCACCCGGGGACTCTGATTGTAACTGCTGCTGTTTTCTGTGTCTCCATGGAGAAACCCCTCGCCTGGGCAGGTAGCCGACAGCAGCCTGTCCCACGTGTGAGGCTGTGAGCCCGGGTCCTTCCACATCGAGCCTCGTGCTCCGTGAGGCTTAGCGGAAGAACTTCCCAGCTGCAGAATTTTCAGTCCTTGTTGTCCTGTCTCTCTGGAAACTGAGTCCACAGCCTGCGGAAAGGAAGGAAAGCTCTCAGAATACCTGATCTGACCCATCTGGGGTGAAGGTGGATTGTTGTCAGGAGGGCAGGGCTTGGGGCAAGGAGCAGGCTGATGCAGCCTGGGGGCCTGTGGACGCCAAGCCATCCAGAACCTGGCTGGGCTCCCCCTCTCACCAGATAGCAGAGCCTCCTGCTAGAATGTCACCCCAACTGCCGGAGTTGGAGCAAACGTTCGCTCTGATTCACAACCCTGCTAGAAAGGTGTGCACATGCCTCCCTAAAGGGCAGCTGTGTCACTTGGCAAAAGAAGACTCTCCGTCATTGAAATGACGGGGGCAGGGGTGTATGCTGGGCGGAACTGAGCTGGGCGGAACCGAGCTGGGCAGCTAGGATGCACGTTCCAGTTGGGCTTTGTTCACCCCCACACACACACCCACTCCTGCAGGGGCTCCCCCTGGCAGCAACCTGAGAGTTACACAGAGCTCCCCCCTGGGGTGTGCTGGGACAATGGTTCACCAAATAAAAGTCCCTGATTTGTAGCATTTGCTGATTTCTGTGGTGTAAATATTCATCCTTTGGCCATTTTCAAGCTAGCAACTTGATGTCGCTGAACATGGATTTGGGAAGAGCTGTGCACAGTGGTCTCAGCAGCTCATAGGAACCGGTCACAGCACACGCTGACCTCGTCTCCACAGTCCCCCAGGCCAATGGCCAGTGACTGATAGGGAACTTAGTCAGGGGTACAAGGCCCCCCTTTGCCTCAAGGTGGGACAGACCTTGGGGATAGTCACGTGCCAGGGCTCCCTGTGGATCGCACTAGAGCTAGATTTCTCCTGGAACCAGTCTTGTGTTCTTCCTCCTTCCTTCTCACTCCCTTACTTCTTCTAGGGGACCAGACCCAAGACAGGCCTCTGTGCCAAGCGGTGGACCCGAACAGGTTCCGTCCTGAGGTCAGCCAAGGGGTTGCCCCACCCACTGTGGGTTTCCTGGCAGAGGTGGGGAAGGGGGGCCTGACCACCACCCTGACATCTGTGGGGTGGTCAGAACAGCCCTATCCTAGGAAGAAGGGAATGTGGGTCCTGACTCTACCACTGACCCTGAACAAGTCCCCTGTACTCGGTCTTACCAACTGTCACCAAAAGGATGGGTGTGACTCCATCACCTCCAGAAGCTCTGAAGTTCTCGGCCAGGCCTCATTCCTGGACACTCGGGTTTATTATGAGGAGGTTGGGGTGCTTCTTATCTAACAAGCACCTCAGGAGAGCCTGTTGATCAGGTGCGTGTGGTCCTAAGATAAGCACTTCAACCTCAGCGCTACTGACATAGGGGCTGGGTCATTCTCTGTCGTGGGGGCCGTCCTGGGCCTGGTGGGACGTTGAGCAGCACCCTGGCCTCTACCCACTCGATGCTAATAGCACCCTCCCCAGGTGTGGCAACCAAAAATATCTCCAGAGCTCACCACATGTCCCCTGGGGAGGCAAAATTATTGTCCCCCTCTCCACTCTCCAATTCAGGATCTATGTCTATGAATCTTGAAACGTCATGGCCACACATCAAACTATGATAAGGAGGCCGTATGGACTGGACCCCCCCACACACACAAACCTCTTTATACTTAAAAAATAATCTGTTTACGTTACATTTTTCAATTGTATTTGCATAGAAGTATACAAATATACTTCCTCTTATTTTTCTTAAATGTATCATTATTATTACTATTCTTATTTTAAGTGTACCCCAATTCTTCATGGGGGTACACTAGTTTTGCTTTACCTCCTTCCGTTCCTAACTGCGTCCCCTGTCAACCACCATCTTTAGACGGAGGCAGTCCCCTCTGAGTCCCTCTGTTTGTCCTCACTGCTGTAAGCAGAAGTTCCTGCAAGATCTAGGAAGATTTGGGGACCCAGGAGAGATGTAGGGGTGTGGGAAACACACTCGGCA